GTATTTATATTTAGGGCTTTTGGCTCCAATGTGCATCACCTTGCACTTGGCCACATTGAACCCCATTTGCCATGTTGACGCCCACTCACCCATCTTTGACAGATCCCTTTGGAGTGCCTCACAATCCTCACTGGTTTTCACCACCCTGAACAACTTCGTAAAAAGCATATGAAGTTGCTAACTGAAGGAGGAGGAGCCCATGGACTAAACCTGTTACGCCCTGCAACCATGTATAGTACAGTGTCTGCAGGCTGGATATTGGGGGGCATCGGCCATATTAGGGGGAAAAGCAGGCTCTCAATCGGAGGTGCACCCAGAGGAATCGAGGCGACTGAAAGCAGAGTTATGGCCAGACGTCCCACAACTCACAGGCAGTGCTCCCTCTAAGCTGAGTTAGTGCGAGCTAGCTCACAGTCTTTTAGCCTCCGGCTCACACATTTTTGTCTGAGCTCAGGAAGGACGGCTCCAGAGCAAACTGATTTTATGCAGCAGCCAAACCGCTCGCTCACAACTTTAGTGCCGGGAGCTCACAGAATAGAATTTTTGCTCACAGGACTCCACAGGTTAGAGGGAGCATTGCTCGCAGGCACCAGAAGCCTCTGAGTGTGGTTGGAGTTCAACAGCTACATGAGGACGAGGGGGGCAAGGAGGTGGTTTTGGTTAGGACAGGTGAACTCTCTTCTGTTCTGTAGCCTGAAGATTTATAGCCCCTCCTCTGGCACTTGGCTGTGCAGTCAACTGGAACGCAGAGAGTCAAGCGTATTGGGCAGACATGCCAATCCCCCCAGATTTTTGTGACCTCTCCCCCCTTTCCCCAAGAGCTGTCCTGTCACAAGACTCCTGTTTTCTCTCCTCCTCTTTGGTTGAGTCTTCAGACTGCCTTCTATGCCTTACTAGGGATGCCAGCCTCCAGGTGGGAGCTGGGGGTCCCCTGGAATTGCAGCTCATCTCCAGACTACGGAGATCAGTTCCCCTGGAGAAAATGGATGCTTCGGAGGGTGGGCTCTGTGGCATCGTACCTCGCTCAGGCCCCTGTCCCCCCCCCAGGCTCCACCCTCAGATCTCCAGGAGTTTCCCAGCCTGGAGCTGGCAACCCTACCGCCGCCTGCCAGAGGCCAAGGTGCACCTGGAAACCCTAGAGCAGTGATGGTGGACCTTTTAGAGACCGAGTGCCCTAACTGCGACCCAAAAACCCACTTATTTATCACAAAGTGCCCACACGGCAATTTAACCTGAATACTGAGGTTTTACTTTAGAAAAAACAACTCATTCATTAACTTAAGAAGATGATCCAAACAAAGTAAGGAAAGCAATCCCAAATGCTTTCATTAACTTAAAATTATTTGGCAGAGAATTCGACACTTTAGTGATGGTCTGGGCCTGGCTGGGGCGATGGCACGCGTGCCCACAGAGAGGGCTCTGAGTGCCACCCTCTGGCACCCGTGCCATAGGTTCGCCACCACTGCCCTAGATGGCCATGAGCACAAATGGCTTTAAGCAGGGGTCGTTTCGTAGAAAAAGAGCTAGGGGAACTCGTTAGCATAACTAATTAGCATATGCC